AGTGTTGTTTTTCTGAAACTTGTCATACACACAGCCTTTGTGTGTACTGGGCCATCAAAATGTCAAATGTACTTGCAGGCAAAAAAAAAAAAAAGTTTTTACCACTGGCTTTGGGTGTGAGATCTGATGGCTTGTCCACTCAAGCTGGAGCTCTGGCCTCCTCGCTTCATGCCCCTCTCCCCAGGATTTTTTTTTTTTTTTTGGGTCAGTTGTGGGGCTTGAACTCTGGGCCTGGGTACTGACCCTGAGCTCTTCAGCTCAAGGCTAGCATTCTACCACTTGAACCACAATACCACTTGAGGTTTTCTGGTGGTTTATTGGAGATGAGTCTTACAGACTTTCCTTGCCTGAGCTGGCTTTGAACCATGATCCTCAGATCTCAGCCTCCTGAGTAGCTAGGATTATAGGCATGAGCCACCAGCACCCGGACTCTCCCCAGGATTTTGGACTCACCTTGTTCTCTCTCTCCCCTAGGCCCTTTGCCTGAACCCTTCACCAATGGTGAGATACAGAAGGTAAGGGTGATCCTCTTAATTTCCTTAATTTCAGGGGTGCTGTTCAGGAAGATGGTATAGTTGGAAAGACTGCTTTCTGGCTTGGGCCAAAACCTCGAGGCCCAGTTCCAGCTCCTTCCTGAGCTCCAAGTTATAGGAGTCCCCCAGTCCCTGCCCCAGCCCATCAAGGGCCAAAGCTGTTGTAAGGGAGAGGCTTGGCTGGGCTTCTCTGTGGCCCCATCCTGGGTGACAGCCCCGCCTCCACCTCCCCACTTACAGAAGAGGCTATTCTTCCCCCCAAGAACAGAGCCTCAGTGTCTGGCCACGCTGCCAGCCCTGCTACTTCCAGTCTGAGTTAGAACAAAGCCCCTCCTCCCGAAGCAGAAGAGAAGGGTTGAAGCCATGTGCCAGCCAAAGCTATGGAGGGACCCAGGAAGGGACTGAGCACCACACTGATGCCCCAGCCAAGGCCTTGGCTCCGGGATGGGCCAGCTTGGAGCGAGGCTACAGGAGTGGGAGTCTGCATGGGTAGCTCAGAGGCTTGTGCTGGGGTGGGGGGTGCCTGAGGAGGGAAGGTCCTACGGCCAAAGTCTGGCCCTTCTGTCATCCAATCCATGGGTCTAGAACTAGAACTATCTGTCCATCTTACTCCTTCAAGGCCCTGCTTGACTGCTTTGGGGCTAAAATTTACAGAGGGCTCAGGAGGTTTGGGGATACCACCTGTGTCCCCAGTACCAGGCAGAAGGCTTGGTGTTCCTGCCGTGGGTCACCGACTCCAAAGGTGAATCTGTGCCCCAAAGCCATGGGACAGAGGATGAGGACAGAACAGTTCTGCTAATCCCACCTCGGGCTTCCACCGTCACCCACCAAGTGACTGACGGAAGCAGGCCAGCCCTCTCTCTGATCCTTTAAGGAATGTCAAAATGTAAATCTGGAATTTGGGTGGATGGCCAAGGCCTGAATAGCATTTTCTCAGGCTGAGGTTCTCTAGCTTGCCGGGTCCCAAGAATTTCTTGCCCTGTTCTCCACCAACCCACACCTCTCATCTCTGTGCCAGGCAAACAGTAGTGAAGCCTTGGCAGAGGCCGTCTCGGAGAGCCCCAGGCCAGCCCTGGCGAGATCCACTTCCAGCGATACCAGTGAGGAGGTAGGCCGGCCTGGTGGGGGTTGGGGACTGGGTCACAGGAGGCCCATTCCCAGGCCACGCTGCTTCCTGGCACACAAGTCTGCCTTTGAGGTCACATGCTGAGGCACATTCTGTCCTTGTGACCTGGCTTTCCTGGGCATAACCCCAAGGGAGCCACCTCACCAGGGCCTGAGGCTCGGAGAACCTCAGCAGGCACCGAGTCCTGAACGTGTCTCCCTCCTTCTATAGCTCAATTCCCAAGACAGCCCCAAGAAACAGGACGCCACAGAGCCCTCCTCTACCTCCTCCTCGGACCTCATCCTGGACTTCAACATCTCCCTGGCTGTGGCCAAAGAGAGGGCCCACCAGAAGCGCAGCAGCAAGCGGGCCCCACAGATGGACTGGAGCAAGAAAAATGAACTCTTCAGCAACCTCTGAGTGCCCAGCTGACCAGAGCTAAGCCAGCACTCGCCCACCCTAGCTCCCTTTCCCTCCTCCCCAGTGCCCACCAAATCAACGTTCCAATCAATACCAGCATCTCCCTTCTTGATGAATCTGATTACTCTAGAAACTTTGTTCTTCCCATATCATACCTTGAGGAAGGTGAATGTCTTTCCTGTCCTGTCCCAATCAAAAAGCAGACTTTTTCCCCAGCTTCTCCCTGAGGGCTTTATCCTACCAAGTGTGTCCTTGTCACCCACCTGGGACATCTCTGGGATCTACAGCAAGCAAGATCTTGGTGGGGTCAGACAGGACCCCACGTCATGATTGGGTCTGGAAGCCGATGGCAGCAGTCACCACGGACATTGGACCAGGCCCGAGTACCCTGAGAGCTGTGGCCTGGGCTTTTTTTTTTTTTTAAGTGTAGTATCATGTTGGGGGGAGAGGGTGTCACTTGAGTCTCATTATTTTCCTGGCTGCTTCACCTAGGGTGTGGTAGCAGCCTCAGCCTTAAATTTGTGTTTCTACTTCGATCTTTTAAGACGTAGGTGGCATGGGGCAGGCCTGGATGCCCCTGCCTATCCTTGAACCAGGCACCACCACTGTAAGGAAACATCTTCAGAAATTCAGCTGCTCCAAACTGCATCAGCCTCTGTGTCTTCCTTTGAAGCTTTGTGGGAAATCATGAGTTATTGCCAGGGAGCCTTTGGATGGGAGGGCAGGCAGGGCATACTACCCGACAACTATCTAGGGCTCCCTGCAGCCCCAAACCTGCATAGCTTTAACCAGGCTTGGGACCCAGCTGCCTGGGAGCCCTGCAGGAAACAGGCTCCTCCCAGCGCTGTGAGCTTAGCACAGTTTCATTGTGACAATGTGTGTGGGTCTCCCACGCAGTAGGGGTGTTTATGGGTATAGTGAGGAATGGGTTCTGAGGCCTGCGTACTTACAGAGGAAGTATAAATCCTAGAGTGGAGCTGGGTTGAGAATATGAGGACTCTTGCCCCTGCTGGTGGAGTGCAGGATTTCTAGAAGCAGGCTACGTTGGCACTCTATATGCTGGCCACTGGCCTGATTGGAGGGCCATGGTTCAGCATGGAGGAAAACAAACTGATCCACTGAGGCCCAGGATACGCTGTGTGGCAAGGTGGGATGGAAGGGGCTTTGCAAAGGTGAAATGCCCCAGGTCCCTGAAGCTGCATCCTGGAGGTGTGCCAGGGTGCCCTGCCAAAAGCCGGAGGTTCCAGGGCAGGTACTCAGGGAGAAGGAAGGGAAGTTGGCCCCAGACTACTTCCGCTCTTCCCAGCCTACGAGAACACTCAAAACCAGGTTCTTGCACTGAGAACAACTTAAAAAGATAGCGGATCAGGGAGAGGAACGGTGGAGCCCTGAGGGTTCAGAGAAGGGCCAGTCACCATCTGGCCTTCTCGGCTCATTAGTTTGGATTCCATCAGCCTTGAAAGGACCCATCGAGAGCCCTATCTCAGCACTCATCGTTCTGTGCCCTGCTGAGCGGGGCAGGGCCTGCCCTCATCCCAGTACTCTCTGACTCCTGGAGGAGGCTCCCACACTGGTGGAAGTGGGACAGGCCTCGGGGCTCTGAGTGGCCCCTCCCTACCCCACCTGCTGGGTGACGCACTAGGAGACCTTTGTTGAAGCTACACTGCAGACAGAGACAGCTTGCTGGGGATTCCTGAGCAGATGCAGATCTTCCACTTTAGAGGCAGGCTTTTAGATCCCAGTGTTCACTTCAGTCGGGTGTGAGATGCCAGGTGGGGGCTGGGAGGCCTTGGGCAAATCACCTTGTCTGGGTCCGTTTCCCTCCCCAAAAAATGTCCTACAAGCTGGGCCCTGGTGGCTCACGCCTGTAATCCTAGCTACTCAGGAGGCTGAGATCTGAGGACCACAGTTCAAAGCCAGCCCAAGCAGGAAAGTCCGTGAGACTCTTATCTCCAATGAACCACCAGAAAACTGGAAGTGGCACTGTGGCTCAAGTGGTAGAGCCCTAGCCTTGAGCTGAAGAGCTCAGGGACAGCACCCAGGCCCAGAGTTCAAGCCCCAAGACCAGCCTTCTCCCCCCTCCCCGCCCCCCCCCCCCCCCCCCGCCCCGCAAAATGTCCTACAAGACTCATTTCCATGGAAACATACATGGACTTCCAGGGTATCTTAGATGGCAGGAAGAACGGTTAGGTGTCAAGGTGTGTTCCCCCAAGAGAGGGGGACCTGGCATAGCTCTCCCTGTTACAAGATCCTGCCAGCCCCTGGGCCCTCTCAAATCTGTGCCTCCACTGCCCTCTTGTGGCCAGGTGGGATGCAGCTGCCGCCGAAGTAGAGTGAGAAGCTGCCCAGAGAAGAGACAGAAGGCAGGGAGGTCCTCTCCAGGAGGGGACCACAGAGGCCTCTGCTTCTGCCCACAGCACGCTCTGAGCTTCCTCAATAGGTATGGCCCCTAGATGCAAGCTGTATCTGAAACTCCCCTATGACTACACTCAGTGCCATCAGGCTCCAAAGAGGAGGAAAGTGCATCGGGCAGAGGGGCTGGGCTATTCACTGCCCTCACCAAGTCAACCTGTCCTTCTAGGATCAAGCCTCTGGGTCACACTGACCTATCACTGACAACAGGATTGAGCTGCCATCTCACACCTCCTCCACCTGCATGGGACTGGCACTGAGAATGAGCTCCAGCTAGCTCTTTCCCAATGCTTGAGCTGAATGGGAAAAGGAGGGAAGATAGGCTGGGGACACAGGCCTATAATCCTAGCCACTCAGGAGACTGAGATCTAAAAAATCATGGTTCCAAACAACCAACAAAAAGCCAGAAGTGGAAGTGTGGCTCAAATGGTAGAAGGCTAGCCTTGAAAAAAAAAAAGCAGGAATGTGAGACCCTGAGTCAAGCCCCAGTGGCAGCACAAACCAAAAGGAAACCAGGAAGCTGGCCAACCTAAGTGCTTTACTCAGCCAGGACATCCCTATAGAAAGGCTTGCTCCATTGTTCCCCAGCCCCTCCCACTCCCCCTTCCACCCTGATGGTCTGGATGGATTCCTGCCATCCACCCCAGTGAGTCTTGAGTCCCATCTAGAAGTGAGTTGCTCAGTACTGCCAGGCAGAGATTGCCCTGGAAAAGCCCAGAGAGGTGACTGCCAGCTTGCCGCAGGACCAAAGACACCAGAATAGAACCCTCATGCAGGCCCTGGTCTTTGGAATAGTGGCTTCCATACCCCACTCTCATGGATGGCTGTCAGCGGGGCTCTGCCAGCTCATCTCTATAAGGCTTCTCTTCCACGTAGCTGGTCTTCTCCAGAAGCCACTGCCGCTCAGGCTCGGTCATTGTCAGTCTGAGTGTCACCTCCTGGAAGACGCTGCTCACAGCCACCTGTGGGAGTCAGAGAGCATGGTCCACCAAAACCTTCTTCTAGCCCCACCACCTAGACCTAGAACTTCCCGTTTATGTCCCTACCTGCTCAAAGTGAAGCTTCTGGAACATCCGGATGCTGGGTTCATTTCCTTGCCCAATTTTAGCCTCAAACGTGGTGAGACCTAGTTTGGTCACTCCTTTAGTGGTGTTGGAGAGAAGCAAGATGAAATCCCCTACTAACCCCCTCACCCTTTCTGTCCCCATTTTTAAGTCACTTGCCTCCAGACTCAGGCCTGAAGCAGGCTCAGCTGAAGCCTGGTCATTCTTTTCCTTCTGTGTCTTCCCTTCTCTCCCTCCACAACCACCCCCATCCTGCCCCAGTCTGTTCAGATTTTCTTACCATAGGACATCATTAGAAGAGCAGCCTCTGTGCCCAAACCCCGGCCCCTGCAGCTGGGCTCTAGAAGAAAGCACTATGGCTGGCACCAGGAGCCAGGCACCAGTGAGGATGGTACTACCATGAGCATTCTGCACATGGAAGAAGTGCTGCTCCCCAAGGCTCCAAGCTTGCAACCTATAATCTCACTCAAAGTTGATCTGACTGCCTCAAGGCCAACAGTGACTCCTGGATGATTGAGGATTTGAATTTTTCTTTTTGCTTATGTGGTGCTGAGGAATTGAGCCCAGGACCTTAGGCATGCAAGGCAAGCGCTCTACCACTGAGCCACCTTCCCAGCTGGATGATTGAGGATTAGGATGCAGAAACTGGAGGGGCTCAGGGATCATTCCACAACATGGCAGGAAGCTCCAAAAAAGATCATTTATTTTTGCAGGGTCCCTTGCCAGCTCTAAAGACTGATTTGTTGGTGGTGGTGGTCACAGGGCTTGAACTGAGGGCCTGGGTGCCATTCCTGAGCTCTTTTTATTTAAGGCTAGTGCCCTTAACACTCTTGAACCACAGCTCTATTTCTGGTTTTCTCGTGGTTAATTAGGGATAAGAGTCTCATGGACTTTCCTGCCTGGGCTGGCTTTGAATCATGATCCTCAGATCTCAGCCTCCTGAGTAGCGAGGATTATAGGTGTGAGCCACTGGCGCCTGGATTAAAGACTGATCTTTGAAGAATCCACAAAACAATGAGTTCATACCAAAGCCTAAGTGAGAAGCCCAGGGTGGACCACCGGGCTGTGGGCTGTGGGGGAATGGCAGGGAAGGAGTATGCTGCCCTAGCAGGAGTTGGCTCACCAACATGGAGCTTCTGACTGAGCTCTCAGAGGTTAAGGCCTAGAGAGCTGAGGACCAGGGGGAAAGGCTGGGCCAGTGGAACTAACCTGCAATCATGACCTCAATCTCCCCCAAGGTGGGATCCTCTAGGTCCGTGAGGAAGAGGTTCACGTCTCCGGTCATACAGCTTTCTTCAGAGGGGCTTGGCCCGGCCCGCCACTTCTCCGCATCCAGCACAATGAAGGTACACTCTAAGGGGGAGACAACAGGGTTACCACCTGCATCCCCCAGAAAAGAGAGGCGGGAATGGTGCTCAGGACACAACCGTCTCTGTGCACAGCAGGAGAAAAGGGATCCACAGCTGCTTTCAACTCATTTTAAAGTTCCTAATGTGCCTTTGATCTGAGACTGGCTTCTCCACAGAGCATCTGTACTTATGAAAACCAGGGGCCAGACAGGGGGCTCATGCCTGTACTGTAACCTTAGCTATTTAGGAGGCTGAGAAATGAGGATCACCATTCAAAGCCAGCCACCAGGCAGGAAAGTCTTTGAGGTCCTTATCTCCAATTAACTAGCAAAAAGCAGTTCAGTTGGTAGAGTGCCAGACTTGAGCAAAAAAAAAAAAAACACACTAACGGACAGTGCCCAGGCCCTGAGCTTAAGTCCCAGTGTTAGCGCATGTGCACATGCACAAACATGCAAAAGCACCATAAATGAAGAACAGTAACCACAGTACAGCAAGAGACATGAGGGCAGGGCCTAAATTTACATTTGCAATGTCAAATGCTATAGTCTCTAAATGCAAGCCAGGTAACTGATCAGGGAAGAGGACAGAGGGTCACCTATAAGCACTTCAGATGGCATGAGAATTGAAGGGTTTCTAGCACCTTCATAATGCTTTTGTGGCCCCATCAGCACTGTAGGTTGGGGTGAGGAAAGAAGGGAAACTGGAGTTTGGAGTCAGCCCTCCCACCAACAGGCCAAGGCCTCGGATCCTCACTGTCCGTGTCTTCCCGCCAACTGCGCTGCATCCATACTCTTGCTCCAAGGTCAGTGGCTCAGAGGCAGTCACAACGCTGCAGTTCCTCTGACTGCATCCATTCATGGTACCTGCAGGAGCAAAGGACTGGCCTTACGCATGCAGTACCTAAGACAAGACCACAGACACAAGACCTGAAGAAGGTTAGTTCTACAAGAGAACGGCTAGACTGGACAGTTCAATCTGCCTGGCTTCCCACTCTGCCTCAGGGGTCAGTGTGGAGGAGCAGTGTAAAACCAGGCATTCCTCAAATTCCTGAGGGCCAACTGATCTCAGTAAAGAAAGATGGCAGATCTCCACAAGACAGGTTGACAAGGACCTCAAAAGGAAAAAACAAAAAACACTCCTCTATACCACCACTTTTGCAATCTACCAGACATCTGCCAACTGCAAAGAAGACTATCCTGTGACTGACTCAATTCCCACCTTTCAGGCAGGAGACATCAAAAATAGCCCATTCGGGTTGGGTTAGGCACCAGTGGCTCAGCTGAGATCTGAGGATCACAGTCCAAAGCCAGCCCAGGCAGAAAAGTCTGTGAGACACATCTCCAATTAACCACCAAAAACCAGAAGTGGAGCTATGGCCCAGGAGGTAGAGTGCCAGCCTTGGAGTGAAAAAAGCCAAACAAGTACAAGGCCCTGAATTCAAGTCCCAGTACTAGCACAAAACAGCAACAACAAAAATCATCAGCTAAGCCGGGCGCCGGTGGCTCACGCCTGTAACCCTAGCTACTCAGGAGGCTGAGATCTGAGAATCGCGGTTCAAAGCCAGCCCGGGCAGGAGAGACCGTGAGACTCCTATCTCCAATAAACCACCAGAAAACCGGAAGTGGCGCTGTAGCTCAAGTGGTAGAGCGCTTGCCTTGAGCTGAAGAGCTGAGGGACAGCGCCCAGGCCCAGAGTTCAGGCCCCACGACCGGACCCAAAAAAAAAAAAAAAAAAAAAAAATCATCAGCTGATCTTTTCAAGACAAATATTAAATCTCCAAGAACTGAGACTATTCACTGACATCAGGGAATGTCACTTACTTACAGTTGGGTGGGAACACAATTTTATTTATTTATTTGCTTTCCTGCATATATTTAGTTGACATAAAATGGCTGAAGAATGAGAGGAAAAAATACTAAGGAGTGGGGTGACTTATTCCCAGAGGCTATAATCTTCCACTTCAGCTTCATTTTTCCTATATGTTTCTTCTTCACAGAGGAAATATACAGGAGTTAGTCTTACCTCTGAGTTTACGCAGTGCTAAGGAGGGCCTCTTCACTATGCACTGGGGAACTAGCAACTCTGTATGGAACTACAATTGCATACACACACACACACACACACACACACACACGCCCCAGGTGGGAGGTTACCTAGGCACATGCTCAGACGTGTAGGGTACCAGGACTACCCTCTTTCCCAGAAGCATGGTGTTCTCATTCAGCCTCATAGCAGCAACCTGCAGGAGATTGGGGGGGCGGGGGGGGGGGGGTGGGGGGGGGGGGGGAGGAGGGCGGGATGGGAAGGGGGATGGCAAAGCATGGATGCAAAGACTTCTGGGCCATTTTCTTCCCACTTAAGGTGGGAAGGCAGGCTCTTCTGCCTGCAGCGGGGCTGACAGGGGCCCTCTGAATCCTTTCCTTCCAAACACTGGAGGAAACAGGCTCTAAACTCTTTAAGAAAGTTAACCAAGCTGATTGAGAGGTGCCAGTGGCTCTCCCCCTTGTAATCCTGACTACCAGGGAGGCTGGGCAGGAAAGCCCTTGAGACTCTTTATCTCCAATTAAACACCAAAAATCCCCTAGTGGTGCTAGTGGCTCAAGTGGTGAAGCGCCAGCCTTGAACGAAAATAAGCTAAGTGACAGCTCTCAGAAGGAAGCAATTCTTGGCGCTCAAGGGCCCCGTTTGGACTGCCATTCCTGTCTGTTCTGTGTATTCCCGAGAACATCAGTCCATCAAAGTCAAGCACCAAAAAGCCACGGTTCATCCTCACTGTGCCCAGAAACAACTTTCAGCCTATTCCAAACCTTCACGCCCTTCCTCTTCCTGCCCCCAAGCCTGGTCCTCCGGCCCACTCTTGAGTTCTCAGGCCCCTCCCTCTTGCGTGGTGCTTTAGTCTCTCCCGGGACCTCCCAGGAACTGCCAAGCTCACGCCTATGCCCCGCCGAAGCAAGTGTTGGCAACAGAACTGGCCTTCCACCTCTCCCAGACAGCCACGCTTCCACCACAGGCCGGCAGCCACCCTTCGCGCCTGCGCAGAGATGTGCACCGCCCACTTCCGCCACGCAGACGGCGGCCTCCAGGCTCAATCCAGGCCCCGCCCCCGCGAGGCGCCCAATCAGCGCGCTGCGCCCCGCCCGAGGAGCGCGCCGGAAAAGTGGGCTCTAGCGTCGGCGCATGCGCGCTGCGGGTGCCGGTGCAGGACCGCTGGCGCTGGCACCAGCTGAGGAGCTGGCGGTGGAGGCGGCGGCGGCCGAGGTGGCCGGGAGCGAGCTGTGCTGCAGGTGTTGGGCCGGGAAGAAGGGTGAGACGGGATGGAGGAGGGCGCGACAGCTGGGGCTTCTCCGGGAGGAAAGGCGAGGGGGAGGTTCCGAGGATCTTGAGAACTGAGGGTGGGGAACCCTAACTTAAGCAAGCTTGGCAGGTGAGCGCACGGGGAGTGGAGGCCCGGTTACAAAAGAGAGGCCCTGGGGGGCGAGGGGTGGATTGGAGGGTGACCCAGGAAAGCCTCAGCCCCCGGAACCGTGCTGGGTGGCAGCCAGCTCGCAGTTCCTGGAACCAAAGGGACATATGCACCCCGAAGTGTAGAGGGGGCTCTGGTGGTGGGTGGGACTCGGTGGCTTCGGGGGTCACCTGAAATGAGTCCGAGCATGAACATCTAGGCACAGGTCAGTACCTTGTTCAGCAAGAGAAAAATTAGAAGACATTTCCCAGATTTCCATTTTCCCGGGGAGACCCTTCCCGCAGGGCTGAGTCTGGTGGCAGGTATTGAGGAGGAAGTACTTGGGACCAAAAGGACCAGAATGAAGGTGTGGGGAACCTGCACGCTGCCCTCCCCACCCCCATCTCGGCGCATCAGAAAGCTAACGTCTGTCCTTTTGTCTTAGGGAGCTACAGCAGCCCCCGGCCCTGCACTGAAGGCACTTCTGCTGCTATCCACCCTTCCCCACTTTCTGGAGATGGCGGGTGAAATCACCGACACTGGAGAGCTCTATTCTCCCTATGTGAGTGTTACTTTTCCATCTGGTTTGCTTGCCACAGTGCTTCTGGCTTCTAGGGATGTGCACTTCCTCCTGAGGGGTGTATCATGCTGGTGTATGTCGATTCTGGTAAACAAACAAAGAAACAAACAACAGGGTGGGCTCTGACCCTTAGAGCCACATTGCTGCTGTCATGGTTTAGAACATGAGGATGAAGTTTATTCTCTTTTCAGATGATTATCAGAGAGCAGAGAGACAAAATGAACTTGCTAACTCTTGATAATATTTATCTCCAGCAGCTACACTTGCATATGATGCTGCCTTTCCCGTGGACAGTAATTGACAGCTGTTGACTTGGGATTTTACTCATCTCAGCAGTTTGAAACTTCTTTGGTCTTCAGCTGAGTTTTTTAAGTTGCACAACTTTTATGGTCTTGGATGGCGAAAGAGTTAGTGAAACAGAGACTTGCAATTGCAGTTTGGTGGAGTCTGCAATTAGGACAATTAGAATGATTGACTTCTATGTGAATCTGTATTATCTCTCACTCCCTCACCACACACACTCAGTTTATCTTCTGGTAATATCCAGTTGGTCATGGTTACGTCACAGAATCTTCTTGCCAGGTTAAAGATAATCATTTGAATAATAAAGACAGTGGACTCACATTACTACTAAGTATCATAGAGAAAGGCATCACTGCTTCAGGTAGCCTCTTTCTGGAATTTATCTGCCTTAAACAACTGCTATGCTTTACACCCCCACCTTTCTAGTCTGGGGAATCCCTCCTTTGTTTTCTAGTGGTGCTGCAAATTGTAGAATTGTAGCTAGGCACTGGTACTTCATGCCTGTAATTAATTCAAGCTACTCCGGAAGCTGAGATTTGAGGATCACAGTTGGAAGCCAGCCTAAGCAGAAAAGTCTATGTGTTGATCTCTAACCATCAAAAAACTGGAAATGGAGCTATGGCTCCATTTAAGTAGTAGAGCCCTAGCCTTGATCAAAAAAGCTAAGAAACCGTGCCCAGGCTCCATTACCAGGGGAAAAAAAAAATCTAGCATTACAGTATGATAGATTAAAAAAAAAATGCTTCTGAGAACAGCTAGAAGAAATCTTCCTGTTGGGCCAGTACCATTCAAGTACAGCAATGAGGAGCCTCCTTCACCTCTATAATGAGACAGGGAAAGTCTCTTGTAAACCCTGGAATAGAATGGAATGGAATGAGTGTATGTCTTGTTTGAGGAATCATGTAATGGCTCTCAGCCTCCCATATCAGCAAATAAAATGTTTATGCTGCCCCTAAAAGTCACCATGGTTTCTGCTTTTCCTTGAAATATCCACAAACTTAGAAATGAGGAAATGAGTCATTTTAAAAACTGTGTTTCTGAAGGAAAACACTTGGATATTCTCCCATTTCTTGTGTCCCTAGTCATTCTAGTAGTCATTTCATAGGTTAGCCTGTGCCCACAGGAGCTCAGGCCATTGGGCCTATAAGCTTCTGCTCTGCTTTTTTCTTTTTGCCTCCATTCCTTTGTGTTTCATTTGGTTAAGGATCTTTGTGCCAGGGCCATCCCTAGGCAATTATCACAATCAACTGCTTTCTTTTTTTGCTATGTAGGAAGATGATTGTCACAGTCAATTGCTTTCTTTTCATTCTATGGGTGAGGAAAGATGTAGGAAAAGTACATACTGGTGGGGATGAGGTGGTATTAGCCAGGAGGTAAATGGTTAGAGCTTTGAGAGGATAAAACACTTTTATCCTAAGTTGGATTTTTGTTTGTTTGTTTGTTTGTTTTTCTGGTGCTAGTATTGGGGCTTGAACTCAGGGCCTGGGGGCTGTCCCTTAGCTTTTGTTGCTCAATGGGAGTGCTCTACCACTTGAACCACAGCTCTACTTCTAGCTTTTTTCTGGTTAATTAGAGATAAGAGTCTATCTGATTTTTCTGCCTGGGCTGGCTTTGAACCATGATCCTCATATCTCAGCCTTCTGAGGTAGCTAGGATTATAGGCATGAGCTACTGACAGCTGACCTAAGGACATCTTAATCTACTATCCTGGGAGAATGATTCTTGATTTCCTGTGAGACCTAAGGGTTTATTATCCCGTGTGCCCACCACCCAGCAGAGTTGACTTCCCAGAATGTACTATAGGCGTCGGCATAGCACAATGAGGACAGAACATTGCCTCATCTGGAAGTGGCGCTGTAGCTCAAGTGGTAGAGTGCTCGCCTTGAGCTGAAGAGCTGAGGGACAGCACCCAGGCCCAGAGTTCAAGCCCCACGACCGACAAAAAAAAAAAAAAAAAGAACATTGCCTCATCTGCTTGAAAGACTAAGATACTGGGTGTCAGTTCATAAAAGTACATCAGCCCTCACTGATGGGCTTGCACACCTCAGCCCGAAACAGCCTTCTCTTAGCCAATTTACCCCAGGGTGAATTCTTTTCCCTTCCAGGAGTAGATGTTTGCTTATCTACCTTATTCTGCATAAAGTCTTTGGAATAGCCAATCAGTACTTTCCCAAGGGAAGTGATAAACATAAGAATGTCATTAAGGCCTGCCTGTGTCACCACGAGTGACCCAGGACTGGCATGTGTCCTCATTTGGGGGACCAGAGGTAGTTGAGATTAAGGTGGTGACTGTGATCAGGATATAAGATACAAGATCTGCTGGCTAGTTTTGTTGAAAATCATTGCTGTTGAGTTTGACAGAAAGGGCACTGACTTCACAGCCTTAGATCCTGTCTGGTGCTTGTACATGGCTGCGGAGATGTGCCCAGAAAGAAGCTGGTGACCCCAGCTTCTTGCACATCTGGTATGGGTTGCTGGGTTGAAGTTGAGGCAAATGGAGTGCTACACTGAGTTTCCTAGAGCAGAGGGGCCAGGGCAGTGTCCCAGGAAGCCGGAAGCTGTACCTTCACCACAGAGGAAGAGTGGAGAATTGGAGGAAGCTGTTCAGCTTGCATGCATAGGTTTTGTCTATGGAGACTATGATAGAATCTTTTCCCCTCCTAGTACTAGAGATTAAACTCAAGAACTTGTTCTTGCTGAGAAAGCACAAGAGTCCAATCCCTGCAACAGGGGCCTTATTCCTCTACTTCCGGCTGCCCTTCTAGGAGGCTGGCCCCTTGGAGCTGTCATATGACCCGCGGAGGACAATGCCTCCTTCCTCTCCTTCCTTCCCCATAGCTCCTCTTGACTCAGCCTGTGGCTAGACTCAGTGGTGCTCTGCTTATCTACATCTTATGAATGACCAGTCCTTACTGTGTACTTTTACTGAAGATAAAGAGGATTTAATGCTCTCCAGGACTGCTGAGGCTTTCCGGAAGGCTAAGAAGTCATGCCGTATCCTGCATGGGTACACAGTGCTCGCTTTGGAACTAAAAAATCACCACAAAACAAGGCAAACGTGACTACCCATTTCTTCTTCCAACTTCCAAGAGCTTACCCATAATTAACTTGTCTATGAAGTTGTTAAAGCTTCTTCCTCACTAAGATTTATTTGAGATTCCTGTGGACGCCTACTCCAGCAGTGGTTCACAGATGGTGAAGAGCTTGCCTCCCAGGAGACATTTGGCAAAGTTCAGAGACACCATTGGTAGAATGACTGTGGGGCTGTCAGCAGCCAGAGGTCAGGTTTGTTGCTAAACATCCTAAAATACCTAGATGACCCCCCCCCACACACACACCAAAAGAATAACCTGACCTCAAATGTCAACAATGTCCAGACCGAGAACCCCTGATCTGTTATAGGCCCTTGAACTTTCACACCCTAATTCAGTGAGTTTTCCGAAGTTGAAAATTCCTCTTGTACTATTTAATTTTCCCATAAAACATTGCACTGTACACCTCAGATCTCAGCCTCCTGAGTAGCTAGGATTACAGGCGTGAGCCACCAGCACCTAGCAAGGAAGGGTTATGTTTTAAAGTGTCAAGGAGTTTGTAGGCAGAGGGGTAGAGCTAGTGGAAAAAGAGATTTGCAGGTTGGGATGAGTTCAGAAGTCCAGGCACAAGCTGGGCCTAAGCAAGGAAGAAGAACATGTGTTCCTCAAAGAGAGGAAGCTGGCGCTGTGATCTTTTGACAGAGGCAGGAGCATGGCTTTGGGAATACACATCACATGGCCTCAGCACCTCAATCAAATAGGAGATGGAGGTGACATCTGGGAGCTTGAAGAATGAGCTTTGGAGCAGTTACTATGGGAAGTGCTAGGGGCCATGTCCAGAAATAAGTATAATTGGATGCAGCCATACCCAAGTGAGACTCCCTCATTTGTTGTGTGACCATCTTCTGGCTCCAAAGAAAACGTATCGGGAGCCTTTGGTAGCTCTGGCTCATGAAGGGAGGAGAGTAGGCCTTGTCCTAGGCAGAGTAGTGAATAGGTTAGAATGGGAGGGGGGAGGATGAGGGAGACTCAGGCTCCGCACACTCTTATAGTCCACCGACTTCCCAGCAAGTAATGAAGGCAACTGGTGCCCCGTGGGAATAGGCTTCTGGCTGGAGAAGTAGAAAGGTAGAGGTGTCTGGAGGCAATGGAGGCATGGACACTCGAGTTGGGGTTCAAGTCAGAGAATAGTTTTATAGCTGAGATCTTGGCAAAAGAAATAGTCCTAATTTTTTTAACTTAAAAAAAATTATTATTGTCTTTAAGTAGATGTACAAGAAGTTCCCATTCTACAAAACAGTATATGAATACAAGTGTCTGACAGTATTGTCACCCATCCCTCCTAACCCTTCCCTTCTCCCCCTTTTTTTTAAAAATTGAGATGGATGATTGCATGAATGTCACATATGTCACAGTACGGTGGAATACTGATACTTAGTTAAAGTCACAATCACATTTTAACCTTCACAAGGCACATTATCATTGTTTGTGAATTCTATGAGCTCTGACAATACAAATTATTTTTCCCGCCTCAGGTGATGTTTACATTTCCTTTTGCTTAGTGTAGGCTGTTATTCCCTCTTTCCCTCGCATTTCTCCCTTCCCATCGCTGTCTTTGGGTTGCTTAGCTCTTTTTCTTCTATGTCCATGGGCTCTAGAGTTGGGGTTCAAATCAGAGAACAGTTTTATAGCTGAGATCTTGGCAAATGAAATAGTCCTAATTAACTGAGCTAAGGTCAAGGCGGCCATGTTAGACTTAAATTTGAAACTGGGAGTCAGTAACCGGACACATCACCCTAAGGTTTGTGGTGGGATGAGTGCCAGAGTAACTGCTAGTGGAAATGGGGCTTCTTCAAGGGGCAATAAAATAGAATTAGGTGGTAGGGCCAGTTGTTCAACCTTGTATTACTAAAACCCACTACATTGTGTCCTAAACCCATTACATTGTGTGCTGAGAAAAATTGCTGGCATGTGAATTCTGTTTCAGTTATATGCCAGTAGTGGGACTTGAACTCAGAGCCTCGCATTCTCAGTTGGCTTTTTGGCTCAAAGCTGGCACTCTCCCATGAGCCATACCTCCACTTTCTACTTTTTTTCTGTTGGGACTGGCTTTGAACCAGGATCCTCAGATCTCAGCCTCTGAAATACCTAAGGTTACAGGCCTGAGCCATCAGTGCCCAACCTGTTTCCATTTTTTTAAGCCGTGAAGTTGGTGTAGGGTAAGGGATAAAGTTAAGGGAGCGTGACTGTCAATGACTCGAAGGGCAAGGAAGGGAGGAGGTTGAGTCATGTGACAGGCAGTCTCAGAGAAGTTCCTTGGAGGTCGGTGTTTTGGGTTCTCTCTTGTGCCCATGACACTGTCCTCAGGAAGACCGCATCCCATCTGAGCAGAGCTGATGTCTGTGCCAGTGCTTTGAGTAGTTGAAAAGGATGGCAGTGGAAGTAGAGACTAGAACTCACAGATCCCATGGCTTTGATACCTGAATACCACTGACACCTCCTAAGGAGCCTGGCTCCTTAGAACCTTGGTGTCCCTCTCCCTCCTTGCCTGCCTCCTTGTTAAAGGTCTAGGAAGTGCTATGAGGGTACGCTGTCCCAATCCCTAACCCCTAACCCCAACCCTAACACATAACCAAATCCTAACCCTAACCACATCCAATGCTGCCCCAACCATAACCTTAACACAAACCCTAACCCACACACTAACATGGACCCTAACCCATACTCCCACATATCCTAACCCAAATCTGTACCCTAACATGTACTCTTGGCCACTCGCTGATCTATTGAGGGGTAGGTTGATTAATTTCTGGACTTAGATGTCACTCCTGTTGGTTCCAGGTTGGGCTGGTGTACATGTTTAACCTCATCGTGGGCACTGGCGCGCTCACCATGCCCAAAGCCTTCGCCACTGCTGGGTGGCTTGTGAGCCTCATCCTGCTGGTGTTCCTGGGCTTCATGAGGTAAGAGGTGGCTGCAGGCTGTCCCATGGGAGCTGGGAAAATGGCTTTCTACCTTTCTATTTTTTTTTTTTAAATCAGTTGTGGGGCTTGAACTCCTGGCCTAAGCACTGTCCCTGAGCTCTTTTGCTCAAGGCTAGCACTCTTCCACTTTGAGCCACACACAGCGCTACTTCTGCTTTTCTGGTGGTTTATTGGAGAGAAAAGTCTCACGGACTTTCCTGCCCTGGCTTACTTCGAACCATGATCCTCAGATCTCAGCCTCCTAAGTAGCTAGGATTAGAGGTGTGAGCCACCGGCACCCAGGCTTTCTACCTTATATGTAGGTCCCAAGCTGGGTGTCCCTAGAGGAAGGGAAATAGATCCCTGGTCTCCTGTGCCTCCTGCTAATGGAGCCGATGCCCAACCCTGAGCAGTAAGGCCGAGACACTGGACAATGCCTTGGTGTGTTTTATGCAGTGCTGGCTGCCTCACCTCTGCAGATGCACCTTCCCTGCTCTGCATTTTATTACTTTAGCCATCACGCCTGGCTCTCTGAGAAAACACCACTAGCTAGAATCCAGCAAACATTAACTGATCTGAAAAATCAGTTTGGAATTTAGAATTTACTTAAGATGATTCACCAAGTAAATGGTAAACACACATTACACATACACATGCAGTGAGTCACGTAACAACTGGTCCCTTAAGGACCTTCCCTGGGCCATCGGGGAGGCTCTAGGAGCCAGGTATGGGGGAGGGGTTCTAGCCTGTGCTAGACAGACTCCTGAAGTTCTTCACAAGTGGCTTTATGAAGCAGAGATTTAGGACTAGTCACACCCAGCACCCTGCACCTCACAACCAGAAGTCCCCATAAAAGAGATGGTAAGGGACCCCTGGAGACACCTCCAAGGAGCACTTCCTTTAAAAGAGGCTCTGCCCCTCTCTTCACGCTAGCCACCATCCTGGTATTTTCTGGTGTTGTTTGTTTATTGTTGTCGTTGGTGTGTGTGTGTGTGTGTGTGTGAGTGTGATGGTATTGGAACCTTGCACTCTCCCTTAGCTTTTACACTCAAGGTTAATGCTCTATCATTTAAGCCACACACCTTCACTTCTGGCTTTTTGCTGGTCAATTAGAGATTAAAGTCTCTGGGATTTGTCTTCCCCTGGCTGGCTCCAAATTGGGATCTTCAGATCTCAGCTTTTTTTGTTTTTGTTTTTGTTTTTTTTGTCGGTTGTGTGGGGCCTGAACTCTGCGCCTGGGCGCTGTCCCTCAGCTGTTCAGCTCAAGGCTAGCGCTCTACCACTTGAGCCACGGTGTTACTTCTGGCTTTTTCTGCTTATGTGGTGCTGAGGAATGGAACCCAGGGCCTCATGCATACAAGGCAAACACTCTGCCACTGAGCCACCTTCCCAGCCCCAGATCTTAGCTTCTTGAGTAGCTAAAATTACAGGGATGAGCCACCAGCGCTGAGCTGGGGTGCTTGATTGAATAAAGCAAAGTTTCCCCCACCTTGAAGACTTGCCAGTCTCTTATGGGGGCAGGCAATGAAGGAAATTGAAGGTGCCAGGCAATATCAAAATAGGAGCATGGCAGAGCAGGGAGGTGGAGGTGGCTGTAGGTTTAAGTTCAGGCCAGAGGTCATGGGGGGGCAACTGGAGCGAAAGTTTGAAGGAAAGGGGCATGAGCACCATAGGCAGAATGAAACGGAGCTGAATAGTTCCAGCAAGTAAGACCAGAAGAGAGCATGGCATGGACTAGAAAGACACCTAAGGTTCTCATTCATGCCTTTCATTTGGGGGGCTCGGGTGAGCCTTGAAGTGCTGTTGTCTCACAACCCATATCAGGCTCTGGCTGGTAAGAACTCAGGATGTCCTTGTCCTTATGTGACTGTCTGTCTCCTTTAGAGGACCTTCAGCCTTCTGAATGGGAAGTGATTATTGAGGGGCCCAGGTAGGATAGCATGCCCCCTCTTTTTGCTAGACTCATTTGTGTTTAAACATGATCAATGAGCTGGCTTTGTGGAACCATGAGCCATCTCTTTATACTTTAATTAAGATCGATTTTGGTTTCACTTCCAAAAAGAAGGGAAAACGTAAAGCCCTTAAAATGGTCAGTTAGGCAAGATAATGAGAAGCCTTTCTTGGCAGGGCCAAGGCAATTGGACTGGACTCTTAGGTCTGTCTGCCCAAACCCTGCTCTGGGAGGGGTGTGGGTGGGGCTCTGTGGCTTCTAGTAGCTCCTCGCCCACCTCCCATCCCACTACAGGACTGAAGGATCACTCAGCTGTGATCAGCACTTGAGGGCATGGGGCCAGAGGCAGACCGGCCTGGAAAGAGAGGTAGATGGATGTTCACCCCACGTTAAGTTTTGTGGCAAGGGTAGACTCAGGCCTTAGGTTTCATCTGCAGGCCAGCAGCATTGTATCTCCCATTAACCAGAGCATTGTATGGTCTGGCTGCTACTGTTTTCTTTTTTGCTTTGTTTTTGGTCATGGGGCTTGAACCAGGGCCCGGATGCTGTCCCTGAACTCTTTCGATCAAAAGTAGGGTTCTACCACATTGAGCACGGCTCTACTTCCAATTTTCTGGTGTATAATTGGAGATAAGGATTTCACAGACTTTCCTGCTGGGGCCAGCTTTAAACCACTATCCTCAGGTCTCAGCCTCCTGGATTACAGTGTGAGCCACCAGTGCCTAGCCTACTGTTCTGTAACAGGAAGTAAAGATTTTTTTCTCTACATCATGGCAAAGTGTCTGCTACCTCCTAGCTTCCTTTTAGATTTGGGGCAGAGTACTATAAACGTATTTTAGCCAGATTATTCCAAAAGGCAAAGTGATGCCAAAGAAAATAGGATGGATTCTGGACCTGCTGTCCAGTTCAGTTATCCATGCTGCATTAGTGTCTATAATCGGGAGTTGGCCACTTTTGTGTGTCCTAGCAGAGAGAGATGAAAGGTGCCTGCTATCCTTCCAGAAGCTCTGGAAAGCCCTGTGTATCAGCCTCCCCTCCCAACTGAGAGCACCATTAGTGTTGGCCCAGCAGGCCCCTTCTGGACATTGTCCTGTCACCTTAACTTCAGCTTACGTTCCCCCTTGAGTAGCATCCCTGTCCTCAGCTTACTGCATACGCCCTTGTGTGTATCACAAAATACACTCTAAATGTAGCCGGTGACAGTAAAAAGTCCCCTCCCAGAATTTCTCTGGGGAAAGCTTTCAGAAGAGATAATGCTGTAGGTTGGTTGTTCGTTGGATCACATTGTACCTCCTGTAATCTCCCTGCAATTAACATATGCCTTCCCTTCAGCTTTGTAACGACCACCTTTGTGATGGAGGCTATGGCCGCAGCCAACGCACAGCTCCGCTGGAAGAGGATGGAAACCCACAAGGTGTGTGCCCCCCTTGTCTCCTTGTAGGGACTCCAGTCACTTGTGCCCCCAAGACATTCTCAGCAGCCTGTTCTTCCTCCCTGTTCCTGAAGAGCTCCATCCTGTCCCAGAGCTGCAGCTTAGTAGGCAGCGAAGCTTGGAGAACAAATGCAGGGTCTTATGTCTTAGCATCGCAGCCGTAGGCCCTCACACTCCCTCCTGGCTCTCTTGGTCATTTTGAACCTTTGTCCCCAGGACTCTTCTAATGTGACAATACAGACACGTTGAGAGCTTCCTAATCAGAAAGCTGGAAAGAAAGGGTGAAGGTGATGGACGCCCCATTGCCTGGGGTTCTGTAGGGCTGTACGTTATGCACTTCCCGTGTTTCTCCTCCTCATCCAACGCTCTGCCTGCCAGGAGGAAGATGACGAGGACTCCTCCACGGCCTCGGACAGTGATGTCCTTAGCCAGGACAACTATGAGCGGGCAGAGAAACGGCCCATCCTGTCTGTGCGTAAGTCTTGGGCAGCTGGGGGGTCCCCATGCTTCCCTGTGGCTCCTCTGTATGGAGAAGGCCTGGAGAGAGTCTCCTCACAGACATCTCCAGCATTTCCTGCTTATGGCTCAGCTTTGAGAAAGGCATCAGGGGGAAGTAAATAAAGTACAGGGTGCCCAGGCCTGGCCTGGCCCTTGCTGGATCTGCCTCTTACTATGTTTTATTTTAGCATATTATTTGAACTCTGGGCGCCTCAGTTTTGAAAGGATGGAATGCCCTGTTCTATGCACTGTTCCCACTAGAGTCAGTATGGCTGTCTGGCTTCATCCTTCCACCCACCCCTCATGCATACTGTCTCCTTGCTGCTCCAGCCAGGCCAAGGCCTAGGGTACCCAATCTCCCTCTCATCCCGTAAGGAACATCCCTGAATCCTCTTTTAAAATATGGATCAGGAAGCCAGTCACTGGTGGCTATACCTGTAATCCTAGCTACTCATGAGACGGAGAGCCAAAGGATTGTGGTTCAAAGCCAGCCAAGGCAGAACAGCTCTTGAGATTCTATCTCCAATTAACTAGCAAAGAAGCCAAGATGGAGGCACAGCTTAAGCAGTAGAGTGCAAGCTGAGCAAGCAAGCGAACAAGTAAGAAGCCCCCAGTTCAATCCCTGCTACCAGAAAGAGGAAAAATATGTGGGGGGAGGGGCAGGGAATGGAGGGCGTCTGGAAGTGCGGCTAGTAGTGGAATGCTTGTCTAGCATGTGCCAAAGCCCTGAGTTCCAGCCTCAGCACACACACCATCCAAAAAAAAAAGACTCAAAATGCTTGAAACAGTTATCATTAGGGAGTTTTCTCAAGAGTTTAAGCCCTTTGGGAGTTCCCTTAATCAAGAGGAATTTCCAGAGCTCAGCAGCACCTCTGGGAACCCTTCCACTGAAGACCCATTTCCCTCCATGTTCTTTCTATCCCACAGAGAGACGTGCATCTCCCAACCTTTTTGAAATCACAGACCGTGTGGAGATGGGACAGATGGCCTCTATGTTCTTCAATAAAGGTAAGGCTTGCTCTGGGCTGGGGCACGGAGAAAGGGCCAGTTAAACCTTCCTTGCAGACTGGGCCTATGTAATGAGTCCCCTGTACCCGGCCTTCTCCCCAGGTCAGTGGGGAGGAGGGAAGCAGCTGATCTACCTGCTGAGAAGCCTGCCTTGTTCTGTTGTTTTTTTCCTCTGTCCATGGTATGAATAAAGAAGTAGCTAATGGGGGTCAAGAGTCCTGGGTCACTTTCCAAAGAAGGAAGCCCAGGGGGGCATCGGAGAGTTTTGTGCGTCTTGTTGATTGCTTCTGACTTGGCTGTCTTCCAAGGCAGTAGCCTTGGACTATATGGTAGGATGTGCCGTGGGCACGCCTGGGTGTGTACTCCAAGCAGCCAGCAGAGGGCGTTAGGCGCACAGGCTATGGTTGCCATATGGGCATGGAGCCCTGGAGAGCAGAGATGACACGTTGGCTGCCTCCCGTCTCTGCCTGCTCCTGGCTGGCATTTGACTGCAGCTTGCAAGGATCCACTAGCGTCAGGTGGATGGGTCTGCCAGCCATAGATAGCATCGTGTAACTATGGACAGTCTTGTTTTTTTAGAAGACCACCTGTTTAAGAGTTTAGTTTTTAATGCCCAGACTTACCTGTTTCTGCTTCCTTGAGAATCAAGCAGAATCTTAGTAAGTGCTTTCTCTTATGGCTGTCTCAGAAAACATCCTGCCCCTCCATCAAGTCCCCAGTGTGCTGAGTGGGGAATCGCCCTGGGTCATTCCCGGTCTTGAGAATGGCTGTACTTCACTTAGAGGTAGGGGGGACTGCAGAAACTGGCTAGCCACTCAGTTTGTCACCAGTGGTGTGATTTGATGGTCCATCCAGAAATGATTATTGGCACAGGCTGTCCAAGGCTCGGCTCTACCTGACTTTTCTCCCTCTTGGAATCAGCCTCATAGAGGATTTCCAGAATTCATCAAAAACAACTTGGCTATGTTCAGCCAGACCTCTGTGCCTTTCTTTTGTTCTGTTTCCATCACTTCCCATCCACTAGACCAAGAGGGTGAAAGTGTTTCCTCCTGACAGCCCTGCAGAGCCCCCTTCCAAGTGCAGGCTTGGAAGATGAGGTGCGCATTAGAGGGAGCATGTGCACCTTTAAGCCTGCTTTTTCATCCTTACGTTCTGCCGTCTGCCCTGGTTTCTGTAAGAATTCTAGGAACTAGTGCTTTGCTTTGTCTTTTCTCCCCCATGGAGCAGACTCCCAGCTTACCCACATCTAAAAGGAAGTGGCACATTTTGTGGTGGCAGCCCCACACTTACAGGAGCTTCTTTGCTATCTCTGGCAGAGTTCTTCAAGCTCTGCACTGGTGATATTGGGCTAGATAACTCTTCATTGTGGTGGAGTTGGTGTTTGTGTGTGAGGGTGGTCCTGTCCTAGACATTGTGGGCTATATAGCGCCTCTTGCTGGTGGCAGTCAAAACTCCTCAGATATGGCTAGTTGTATCCAGTAGGAGATGGTGTATAGACTCACACTCTGCCCTGTTCATAACCCAGATAGCCAGATTGTCACCTTTGGCCTCCACAAAGGGCTCCTCTGAGGTCCCCAGTCATTTCTTGTAATTACAAATGCCAAGCCTAGTCATTGATGTCCTCTCAGGAAGTACATCAATTTTCCTACTTTGTGTCTAGTAATGAAATTTTATTGATCAGGGAGGGCTGAAGGCAGTTTATAAACAGCTGACACTGGAGCTGTTGGCAGGTGGCGGGAAAACAGTAGGGAAGGGACAGTGCCTCCTCACAGAGAGCAGAAAGGCAAACTGGATATGCACCCAGAGTCTGGGGCATGAGTGACGGACAGCCCCATGGGCCACTGAACTTGGATGTCAAGGCCATTTCTAGCATTCAGGTAAGGACATTCCAGGCAGCATGTTCAAACAAGTAGGTGCCAGGCCCTCTGGGTCCTTTAGAAAAATCATGTTTTCCTGATTTTTTTCCCCCCTAGAATCCTAAGAGCCGAACTGACCTCAGATAACCCAGGAGTGACACATCCCAGGCTTTCCCCTGGGGATCCCGAAGGCTCTTCTGAGCCACCAGGATTAGAAGGGAACTGTCACTTCATTTTTCTTTCTGTTCTCAGAGAAAACAGCCACTTGAGACCAAGTGACAACCAAAACTTGAGTAATTCCTCTGAGCAGGAGTTGGAGACTGGCTGTCCGGGGCTATAACCCTTAGGTTGTTGAGCCTGGCTGCTGTTTTCAGAGCCTTTGTCCCAATCCTTATAACTAGAGTCACAAACAGAAGATGGTGCAGGTGGAATTCTTCTCATCATACAAGATAAGAGATGTTCAGGGACCTGTCAGAGTGGAGAAACCTGTCTGATAGAATTAGGACAAGAGCCCTATGTTTCTGGCTCCTAGTGCAATCTGCTTCTGCAGTGAGCAGATGAAGGTTAGCCTCTGCACGGGGAGCTTGATGGTGTAGTGCACCCTCCAGAGCCAGCTGTCCCTCACTGGCTCTTCTCGTAGGAAGGAAAGGGGAAGCTGTCCCGAGCACTGTGTCTCCACAGCACACAGGCCACCCTGGGCCTCCAGGTGCTGGGTGGTATATCAGATTCAGTGGAGTCCAAGTCTGAGTTCAGGATCCTTGGGAATGAAAGGCTTTTCACACTCTCAGTTACAGCCTCAGTGTGCCGCTCCATTTCCACCAGCTTCTCTGTGCTTTGGGTGTGTGTATGTGTGTGCATGCACATGCATATGTACTAATACTAGAGCTTGAACTCAGGGCCTGGGCGCAGTCCCTAAGCATTCGTGCTCAAAGCTAGCACCACTTGAGCTGCAGCTTTTTGCTGGTTAGTTAGAGATAAGATTGCTAGCTTTGGGCTGGGAAGGTAGAGCGCTTGTCTTGCATGCCTGAGGCCCTGGATTCGATTCCTCAGCACCACATAAGCAAAAAGAAAAAAGCCCGAAGTGGCGCTGTGGCTCAAGTAGTAGAGTGCTAGCCTTGAGCTGAAGAGCTGAGGGACAGCGCCTAGGCCCAGAGTCCAGGCCCCGCAACCGGACCAAAAAAAAAAAAAATAGATTGCTAGCTTCCTCTCCGGGCTAGCCTTAAACCAGGATCCTCAGATCTCAGCCTCCTGAGTAGCTGGTATTACAAGTATGAGCCACTGGCACCCAGCTTGTGCTTCGGTTTATTACTAGCAATCTGTCTCAGAGCCATTCCTTGGTTCAAAAGGGGCTCTGGTCCTAGTGCTCTTGGGGTCCATGCTTCTGACTCAGCATGTCTCTCCTTCTCTTCCACACAGCCATACCTAGTGTGAAGGGGCCTCCCATTCCTCCTGGGACCTCATACTCATCTAGATCTGAATCGGGCTGGGTACATGGCTCAAGTGGTAGAGTGCCTGCCTAGCAAATGTGAGGCCCTGAGTTCAGACTGCACACACGTATACTTTCACACACACACACACACACACACACACACACACACACACACACACACACACACACACACACACACACACACACACATACACATTCTCTCTCTCTCTCTCTCTTCCTAAATTTGGAACCTCTCTGACCAGCCAGAATAAGAAACAGGACTTTGGGGTCATTTTTCCACCTTTTGTAGAAAGCACATGGCTCGGAGAACTGAAAGCTAGGAAAGAGGAAAAGGTTTAATCATCAAAAAAGAACACAAGCACCTCTTTCTGGCTCCCTAACTCATGGCTTTGTTGCTTTCAGTGGGGGTCAACTTATTCTATTTCTGCATCATCATTTACCTGTACGGGGACCTGGCCATCTATGCCGCAGCTGTGCCCTTCTCCCTCATGCAGGTGACGTGGTGAGTACACCCCGCAAGCACCCAGACTGTGCTGGCCAGTCAGGGCAGAGGGTCCAGTGTACAAGCAGAGGGCCATGCATTTGGCCTGAGGAATGAGAACACCCAAGGCCCTGTCTTACACACACCACAGCCAGCCATGCTGTCTGTCCTTAACAGCGTGTTCTCTGACTGCTGTCCCTCCCTGCCATGTTAGGGGATGGCTTAGAGTCCCATCAAGGGCCCCGAGTCACTGGGAAGTGCTGGCACAGAAGCCCTCTATGAGTATGGGGAGTGACTTCCCATGAAATAGAGAGCCGCCCCAAGTCTGAGTCCATCTTTGCTTTCTCAGCAGTGCTGCTGGAAATGACTCGTGTGACGTGGAGAAAGACACCAAATCCAACGACACTGATCTGTGCTGGGGGCCCCTGCGCAGAATAGACGCCTACCGCATCTACCTGGTGAGTGCCGGGGATGTCTGACCCACCTTTCCTCTGGTTGAACGCTGTCTCCAGAAAGGAGGGCCTGTACCCCTCTACACTGCCGCCCTAGCAGAAAATGACAAGCAGGCCTCAAATTCAGACATGGTTTGGGGTGAGCATCTGCGAGGACTGTGGGCTGTTGTGGATTTAGCTCAGGGTTTGAGGGGCACTATGCAAAGCCCTGAGAGTACCTTCCAGATCTCACTTTCCAGAGACTTCTGTGTCTTAATCTTAACACACACACACACACACACACACACACACACACACACACACACACACACACACACACACACACACACACACACATCCATCACAGACAAGCTCTGCAGACGGGGAGGGATCAGCCCAGCCCTCCTCCTGTCTCCCCACCTCCCTGTGGTCTAAAGAAGATGAATCTCCAGGCTCGGTCTTGGTGTGGTTGGGGTGGAGCTAAATAATACACCAGACGGGCCTCGGCAATAAGACACAACAATATCAGAGGTAGTTGTTTATCTCTGCCTGCTTCAGGGATAGGGAGCAGAAATGCTTCCCTTCAGCTTTTGCAGCATCTATTGATATATTTTCCGTCTCCTCTTGGTCCTCCGCAGCCCTGGGTGGAGGTGTGTGCTGGGCGATACAACTTGAGGGTGTGCTGTGTGCAGAGTATGCTGGACAATACAATTTGACCTGTGGCTACTGAGCTGTTCGGAAGAGGGAAGCGGAGGCCAGAACAGAGAGCCAAGCCTTTCTAGCGGTGACCTCTTGACTTGGTTGTTCCCATCCTGGCAAAGGCTTCCACAAGGCTTTGCCTACTGTCTGGACTTGATAACCCTAAGAGTCATTGCCTTTCCCTTCCCACCCTAGTGCTTAGGCCTAGGCCACAGAGATCTGTTTCCTCTCTGTTTCTAGATCAGTTTGTCAATGGTCTATGTTTCTCCTCTGAGCATTTAGGGATGGCTTGGCATTTTGTCTTATAGTGAAGTTGTGTCTCTGATCTTCCCACTGCAGGCCTAGGGGGAGTTGATAGCAGGTTTAATTTTCTGGTGCCCTTTGGCCCAGGACCAGAAGAGGCAGTCTAGGGACCCAAAACACTAGAGATCTTGTTGGCCATTTAGCCTTTCAACACACTTCAGATGACAACATTAGCAAAAGTCCAAGGCCCTTCTGAATCTCTCCTCCCCCTGCATGGTGGGCAGGAGGAGGGTGTGGAGGAAGAGACCCAAGGGGCTTTGGGAGGAGCCAGGCCAGCCAAGCCCCTCCTGTGGGTCCTCACCGGGGAGGCTGCTGGAGTCCGTAGACTGTCTGGCACATTCCCCCACCCACTCGCAAAATAGGTACAGAGTATTAGTTGCTTCCATTTGCTTGGTAAATTATGCAGAAGCATTATTATTGTCTTGTTAAATTGCCCCTTTCCTTGGGCCTATAAACCTCCCATGTGATGGAGGCCTCTCTTGCTGAGCCTCAATAACTCTGACCAAATAGGAGGAACCCCCTCAGGAAGGAGACAGCCATTCATTACTGCCTTCATCTCCCAGATATTGCACTTATAATTCACGGAGCTAATTGCCCCCAATGTCTGTGAACGCTCCAGACCTGGGAGGCCAAGGCTGCAGCATTAGCAGGAAGACTGTCGCCTTGGAGCTTGCTCTCTGGGCTGTGGGTCCCATGGTTCACTTTGCCCCAGCCCATCCCAGGACTTCTGGCTGCCCTGAAGCTTTTGCTCTGCCTGCCCTCTTCTACCCAGTTCCAAGGAACTCGGCAGACAGGCCTGCACCTCGCCTTCGAAGCTGCCTTACAGCGTTGTACTGCCGCTTCCCCTTACCCCCCCCACAACACACACAGTTGAGCAGTGAACCTACTGACCCTCAGCACGGGGGCTTGCTCTCTCTGCAGACCCTCCCTCTCCTTAAAGGGAAGAAGGGAAGCCAGTCTCTAGCAAGCAGCTTCCTTAGATCTGGGGAGGAGAGTCCTTATCACTGACATTCAGACCATCCATGCCTTCTGGAGATGCCAGTGTGCCTGGCGCCACCAGCTGATCCAACCTTACGGATCCGAGACGTTTAACAGGGCAGGGAGCAGGTGGAGGAGGTCCATGGAATGCACACCCTGCCTCGTGCGCAGACTGTGCTTTTGACTCAGGTAAACGCTGCCCTCCTGGCCTGCATCTTTAAGAAGGCCTTGTACTAACTGCATCTTCATTGCTATTCCAGGACAGTATGTTCTGTGGGATAAAGATACAGGCTTTTATATTGTGGCTTCATTTTCAGAAAGTCCTCTGGAAACCATCGATGCTTTTTCTTCCCAAAAAATGCTCCTGAGAAGCACACACAAAATGAGAGAATATCTGGGCTATTAACTATCCCAGGCCAGCCTGTGTGTAGCATCATGATTATATACAAAGAAGGAAGCTCTCTCTCCCAGCAGCTCCCAGTCATCTTCCAAAGCCCTTGACCATAACAAGTGGAAAATTCCTCTTCCCCCGACCCCCCGGCCACTTCCTGTGATTCCTGGGCGCAGCTGATATGAGTCAGTTTCTCCTCCTCCTTCCTGCTGTGGTCACAGAGCAGGGTGCTGCCAGCAGTGTCCCCCAAGCCCCCGGCTGCCTCACTGGAGCTTTTGGCTACCCGGGGCCGGCTGCCACAGCTGGAGCCGGCAGTGACCTGGGCCCTGTCATTAGGGCCCATGAGAGTTCTCTTGCTTCAGCTGACCTTGGAGGTTCAGGCCCTGCCCCCTAGCCCTCCTGCTCCTTTGAAGGATGAAATGAGAAAGTGTCAGGTGCCCCAGCCCTGTCAAGCAGTGAACCTTGCCTCCCGCCTGGGGAGCGCCTTGGGGTTCTTTCTCCAGAGCTTCTCTGGCTGTGGTAGGGAACAAAGTCAGAATGCAGCTCTGCTGCAGGGCCCAGGAGCCAAGGGCCCCTGGGCACGGGGTGTGTGACTGGGCCCTGTCCCCAGGCCTGGGAATGGTGCTCAGGCACTCTTACTGTCTAGGGCTGGCATCACCCAGCCTGGCCTTCCACTACCACCACCACCCCTTGCCCAGATCCATCCCTCCTTCTAGCAAGAACACCTGGAGTGAGTCCTAGGGACTCCCTCAATGCCCAAAGCTTCTTGTTCAGAAAAACAGGTGGCATCCGCCACTCAGCGGTGGGCAGGCGTTGCTGGGTCACCAGCAGGCAACAGCCCAACCGAGCCAGAGCACAGATGGCAAAGCAGAGCTTATCCTGGCTGGAGACCCGGCCACAAACTGGCCCTGTTGAGCAGGGGGCCCCTTGTTAGCTGCCTTGGGACAGGACAAGGTCACCCTGAACCCGGGGAGCTGGGAGATCCGCCTCTCGGGCACAGGTGGCTCTGGTGCAGAGATGCAGCCTGCAGGTGTCTGTCCACTCCCAGGGACCAAGGGCATCTTTCCCGCCCTCCTTCCCCTTTACCCCCTTGAAGAGGTTGGAACATGGGGAAGTCTCTTCCTAGAGAATGGTCACACGTAGATTCAGCTAAGGTAAGCATGGGAAGGGGCCTTCCAGGCCTTCACCAAGGTCTTGTCTATTGGATCTGCAGGAGACCATGTTTTTTCCGTTCCTCCTTGGCTCTGACTTCCACTGCAACAATTGCCTTTGTTTGTTGCTTAAAACAAAAGGCCAGCCCCCAGTTTTTTAGCCAAGTGGTCTCTCCCTAAAACAGGCCCACTCAAAGAGAAAATATCCCCTTGCTGAAGGGAGCAATGTACCCACTGGCAGTGCTGCCCGGTTTGAGAAAGATCCTCCTGATTCCGTTCCTCTCCCCTCCATGTTACCACTGACTTCCAGGTTTCTCAGTTAGGACTCCCAGCCAGGCAGTAAAGTACACAGCATCATCTCATTTTATGAGGGGGTGGGCAGGTGACAGTGGGGACCGAGACTTAGAGACAGTGGCTTCCCCAGGGTCCCAGCATGAAGCAGACAGCGCCAGCTCTTTGGGGGGTTTTTGCCCTGCTAACCCCAGATCACCCTACTTGCCAAGACTCAGATCCATGTGCTCTGCTTATACAGCAATCCAGCTGTAATGCACAGGTTGGGGGACAGAGAATGTCTGTTTGTTAGTCCTTGGAGCCTGGTGGTAACTCGGCGGTGGGGGGGTGGGGGGGGGGGGTTGGTTGCACATGGTGTCCGGTTGGCATTCTCGGGGTTGGGACAGTGTCCCTGTGCTTGGTGAGCACCTCCTCAATGTCGATTTTGAGCATCTGTCTTGCCCTTCACTCCTCAATAGTGCGGTTGACCTATCCTAGTGACTCAAGTAGGGTTGGAACTGGGTGCCTCTTCCCAAGGACATTCTCCTCCTCTGCCACGCTCTCTCTCTGTACTTCCAGCCTCCGCCTCTGTGCCCTGCGGCTGTGGCATCTGCTAATAAGTGGGTCACCGCTGCCATCTCTTGAATATTTATTCTTAACAATTCTGGGGCAGGAGGTGGCCTAGAGGCCTTCAGGACCAGTGAGGAGGGACAGTTAACCGCGGAGCAACAAGTCTGAGGCACCGTGGTGACTTCACAAGATGTGGACACTCTCCGGGTAACTGTGTTGCACTCCCCTGTGGTTATTGGCATGCTCAGGCTATTTTCCGCAGTAGTGGTACCCCCAGATTTGCGGGGCAGACTCTAGCAGGAAGTGGGGCCTGGTGAAGCAGGAAAGACGGGCTTTTGCTTGGGAGGAATAGACCTCCTCTGACAGAGGAAGTGAACTGTCTGTCCCAACAGGTCGGTCCCTCCTGGAAACAGCAAAGCAGGAGAGGAATGGGGCCGGGGATGGAGTGGCCTTCGAGTCCTTCCTTGAAAGGATAGTGACCCTCCCTGGGGACTGGACTACGGGGGACACCTAGCCCTTCTCCTGTCCTTTCTACTTCCCAGCTGCCTCTTGGTAGCTTCACCCCAGTCTATTCTGAAGGCTCCAAGAGGTTGGGTTTGTTTTGCTGGTCATCATCCTTCCTCCAACTTGTCCATGGAACGGGGCCCCATCACAGCCAGGGAGCC